ATGAGATCTATGTCCCTGTACTTGTGACTGAAATAATGTATTGATACTTTGTGCTTCTGATTTCTGTCATCTTTGCCAAAAATCATGAAAATCATTAGATAGCTGATGGGGACCCAATGCTAAGATGACCAGGCTGCTTTTTAAGAACAGTCTGAAACAATAGTTTCATGTCAACAAAGATTCACAAAGTTCATCATTGAATCCTCAAATATTAAAACTCAGGGGTCTCTATGAAAGTTGAAAGATACACATTTATAATAAGTGAAACGAGTGCAGCTATTTTGCTGTTGAAAGTAAACTTTTAGGAAATTTTACTAAAATGTTACTCTAAGAAGTGGTACAAACTAGAAAAAGTCAGTCAATTCGCATAAAACATAGATTGGTGTATTGCTGACTGATTCAGAGTGAGTTATTATGAGAAGTTAAAGATGTTGGTTCAGACATTCATTCAATAAACTGTTTCTAGCCCCAAACCTTTTGAGATGGTATCACAGAAAGCCGCTTTTCTATCAGGTCCTGGGCTGGCTGGCTCACTGGACTAACCAAGCATGACTGGGTTCATCCATCTGGAGTATACCAGTATTTCTCAGATTACCTGTGGTCATTCACATTCATCACAGACATTGATCTTTTATAAACCAGAATAAAAATAAACTATTATAAAAATGAAATGGAATTTAAAAAAGATATACAAAATTTTAGCCCACATTTTTATTATTAGATTGAACAGACTTAAAACTGCTCTGACAGTTTTCTGTAAAAGTTTCTAAAGGTTCACACTCCATTTCTGTACTTAGGTCATTAACAACCAGCTTATGGCCCGGTGCTGGCCCATGGCCCATACTTTGAGGAGCACTGTTCTAGACTTTAATACAGACAAAAATTTTTTTCTCATGTTGAGTCCCTTCCTGTCTCTTCATTTTTCCTGTACTTGCTTGTCTTCCTGTTATAACGTTTTCCTCTTCTCTCCAGATGGGTTGAAAACAATCATCACGAGAATTGTTAGGGTAGGGGACATGGCACAGGCACAAAGATACATGTCTCTTTTGGGGTCTTCTCTAAAATGAATTTGCAAAATCAAACGTGACATTCACAAATACACTTACATAAGTATATAGTCTATTAGATTTTGAGACTTCAGGTGAGTGTTTCTTAAAGTCTGACTTAAGGACCACCTGTATCAGAATTAGCTGGGTTAATTGTTTAAATTTATAAATCTTATACCTGTTGAGTCAGGCTTTTTGTGGTTTACTCTATGAAGTCTGAATTTTAAACATGAGTCTCAACAGATAATTCTAATACACAATGGAATTTGAGTCCTGCTTTTTCAGGGTTTGGGAATCTGTGTGATTATTGGATTCTGCATCATACACTGTGGTGGTATATTATAAATGCCAATTCTGAAATGTACTAATGTGAATATATTGGAGTTTCTATATATGTGCTTTCAGAAGAAAATCTCCAGGATATTATTGGGTTCATTGCTATTTCAGACATATGCAGCATATTATTGGAAAGAGGTAATATTCTCATTTTACAGACAGAAACAAAGAACACTTACATAAATAAAGTAATTTTACATCTTCCTCTGTTGTAATGACTTTACATCCTTCTAATTTTATTTTCAGAGTTTTGCATACCTAAAATCTATTCTTAAATTCACCTGCTTTATAATAATATAATTTTATTTGGAATAAACCATAACATAGCTACAGAACCCATTCACCATGCAGTTAAACAGTTGTTATGAATTGAATGAGGGATGTGGGATTGTATGTAAAACAGCTCAAAATTTCATTTAAAAACATTTGTCTTTACATTAATGTGAGGTTAATACAAAATGTATTGATAAGGAAAAATATTCTTAGTTGTTAATACCAAATTTACCCATAAGGAAAAATATTATATCCTTAGAGCTTCAAGACACATGCCAGTCAAATAAGGGTGATACCACTATAGCTGGATGTTTAGTTCTGCAGTGGAAATTCCTAAAATGAAAAGAACCATGTTTGCTCTTATTTGTATATGCCTTTCAGAGTTTTGGGCACATTATATCTGCTTGTGTGTATTTGTCTGTTAGATATAGAGAAGTGAGGTCATTTAGTCTTGTTTATGAAAGCAGTAGATCACAATCCTGATATTTTGGCTGGAATGAACATTGAGAAAGGGATTTCCTTATTCCCTTAAGATGAGAATGAATATCAGTTCTTTGGGAACTCTACCCTCTTCCTAAGCAGAATTATAATTTCCCAGGTAAAACTGCAGAACACCAAGAAAGTAACATGCCCATCCTTACCTGTTTTGAACTCAGAGTACCACAAAAACGTTGCTGTTGTGAAATTGTGTGGGCTCCTGGAAAATCTCCCTCTGGAACTTTTATCTTTGCCATTGTGTGCTCTTGATCGAGTTACTAGACCTCCCCAAACTGTCTCCTTACTTCGGGGTTGACAACACCTCTCAGAATTGCTGGAAGAACTCTATCAGTTAATGGTTCTGCGATATGGAGCAGAGTGCTTGGCGCTGGTGAATGGTAGTCAGTCATTGCTGCGGGGCTTGTGTAACACTGGGAAAGGTGTGGATAAGCTGTGACGTCGTGCAAACCCTAGATTTGAAATGAAGCTAGTTTCTTGCTATGTCATTTTGTGTGAGCAAGTAATTCAATCTCTCTGTCCCCTATTTTTCTTAATTTGTGAAATGGGGACTGTAATGATCATTCTAGAAGGATTTTGCCCTGGGGTAAAATGAGGAAGTGTATGTACACACTTGCAATGCCTGGTATGTAGAAACAGAAGGTAGCCGTTAATATTTTTATTGAATTTGACTGCCTACCACTTTCTAAGCTAAATTAAAAAAAAAACATATTTCATGTCCATGTGTCTACTTGCGTTTGGATTTGAGGAGATCCCCTTGATCTTGTAGCAGTTGTCCGGTTTTTAAGTGTATTTTCAAAAAGCTTTCTGGTTTATACATAAACTGATGTGTTTCCACTGGAAGGTTTTGGGAATCTGAAAACAGAGTGATGATGAGGATTCATCTGGCTGCTTTATGAACACGATGTCACGGGAAAAAACAGCCAAAACAAATGGCAGCAGAGAGGCAGACACTTGCTGCAAGACTTAAATAATGTGCATTTGAGCGATGTCAGATTCAGAGGCATGCAAAATGCATAAACACAAAAGAAATTCATAATGGGCTTTCCAGGAAAAGGTTGTTGCTTCCTGATGTGCTAACCTTGGTTCTGTTTTGTGGTTTTGGCGCCAGATAAACATAGCTGGAGGGGACACCGCTGGATTTTCCCATTGTCAGTTGTATGTAATCTAAGAATTGTATGTTTGCTCTTCTCTGCTTTACTCTTACGAAATATTCTGAGAGCCTTCGGGAATAAGCTACTTTAGTTAAGTGGTGTCTTTAATTTATATGATTAATTCATTCAGTAGCCACAAATCACAGTTCCACCCACAAGCATCCTTGTTGATCAGCATCTTAGAATGTTGAGAACTGTGATAATCAGTTGGGCTTTTGGAAAGAGATCTTGAGGAGATGGGGAAACGGATAGTTTCCATCCCCTTATTCTTAAGTTTCCCTTTCTCTCCCTGGGCGGTGATGCTTACAATTTCTAGCCTGTTCTCCTTCCTGGCCCCATCTTTCCCTCACCCTCTGTGCTCTAGTCACACTGGTCTTCCTTCAGCCTTTGAAAGGGCCATGCTGCTTCCCCTGCCCAGGGCCTCTGCACGGCTCTTCTATCTGAAATGTTCACTCTCTCCTCTTCCCTCCCTTCCCTACCCAATTCCTAGTCACCCTTCAGAGCTGAGTTCACTCACTGACTCCTTGAGGGACCTTGCTCTTGTTTCCTGGCCTCGGTCATGTCCCCAGCTCATCTGTTCCCTTGTGACCTTCTCTTTTTCCTTTGTAGTATGTATCATAAGAGTAACTAAAGAATTCACTTTATATTTGTTATCTAGTGTTTTTCCTCTCTCTTTGAAATAGAAGCTCTGCGAGAAAGAGCAGGGGCTGTGTTTGTCTTATTCACAAACGTCTCCCAGCACCTAGCACCCTGTGACAGCATAGGAAGGGAAAACGCTAAGGTGTGACCTGGGTGCAGAATTGGCATTAATGTGCTTCCCCATTTTATTTGTTGCTGTTGATTTTTGGCAGGTGCTTTCTTCACACACGGGTGTGGTGCAGAGGGAGGAATTGCATATGTAAATTTCCAGGCCTGATAGCGTGCTACTCCTTTAGGTGCACCTTCTCAATACAGTCGTTGATTGAAGAGGTACTGGCTGAACTACGTGTGTTTAAGAAATAGCACCCCCATCTGACTCACTTCACCTCACATGATAACCTCTAGGTCCATCCAATGGAAAAGAATCTGCAAAAGAATAGAGATGTGTGTGTGTGTATAACTGAATCACTTTGCTGTACACCTGAAACTAACACAACATTGAAAATCAACTACGTCAATAAAAATTAATTAATTAAAAGTCAGCATCGCAATGACATGATACCGTGTAAGTGATGGCATTTAGACTAAGCAACAACGTTTATCTGCCCTCCCTTGCTCTACTCTGTAAGTTTCTTTCTTGAACAGCTTGGAAATCTAGTCCAGGGTGACAAAGGCTTGTGCTGTGGGGAAGCAGATTTCCTTTATGTAGGAAAATAACCTGTGTGTCACACGTGACTGTTAGCGACACATGGGGGGACCAGCACCTAGAGCTAATGTGGCGTATCTGGCAAATGTTGCAATATTTGGAAGGCAAAGAATCCTGGCGTGGAGGCTAGAGTGGTGGGAGCACCAGGCGGAATCCAGGGACCTGGGAGTGAGGGCAGTAAGAGTCCCAGCAGAAAGAGCACAGTGCGTGAGCCTCTCTCCAACCCCAAGGGAAATCTGATGGTCCATAACTAGAAAGCAGGCAAGAGTTCATGATTATAGACTTTCTTAGACAGGGATGAATACAGAGATGCTGACATTGTTGAGAAGTCTGTTTGTAGGCAGGAGCCATCTTTGATGCCAATAATAGGAAATAAATTCCTTCTCTTTAGTTTATTTGTCCTAATCTCTTAATGGTGACTGAGGCTGCTGTGGGCTTACGAATTAGTGAGGTCACTGGCGTTTTAACAGTGTAAAACAGTGGAAGGCAGTGTATTGTAAAAGAGCTTGGGCTTGGGTGTATTCAGATCTGACTTTAGTCCTGGTTGTTATCACTTCCGCTCTGAGCCTCAGTTTCCTCATCTGTAACGCAGATCCCATAACACTATTGACCAATAAATTGGCATTTATTAGAGGCTATCTTTGAAGCATTTGCTACATGTTCCTGGTTCATGGTGGGCATTCTGTAAATGCTTACTATTATTATTGTTTGCTAGGATATGCCCAGGAGCCCACCGTGGTTTGTCCTAAGACTCAGCTGGGTTTGCATGTTCAGAAGAGGACTGGACAGGGTGATGGTGATTCTGGAGGGCCAGCCTTGCTGTGTTCACCCAGTCTATTCCAGAATCAGTCCAAAGTTCTATGGTCCCTTGAAGCTTCATGGCAAAACTATGTCTGGGTTGGGGTACGGTGGAGAGGAAGTTTCAGCCACCAAATACAGTGTGGAGCTTAAATCCAGCCTGCCCCACTTCACAGCAAATGCACATGACAACTGAGGACATGTCATCTTGCTTTCCTGGAACTTTTGCTGGAAAGAGATGGTCTTGCAGCCTTTGATTGCACTCACCCATTCACCCAGCACTAAAAATTACAACCACTGCCCTAGGTAGCCAACAGCTTTCTGAGGTCCCTTTCCCCACTGAAGAACAATGCATCTGAACTGAAGATCCCCCCATCCCAGCCGCTTCACAGAATAAGACAAGAGCAAGCTCCAGCTGGATTGATGACTGTATCCATTTTTGCATTAAAAGTTCGGTCTGAAAATAATTTCTAGATTGATAACCACATTTTGGGCTTTTCATTAAAGCTATATGATGGATGAAAAAGTTTCAGTCATTTTTTTTACAGTCTGAAAACGCAAATCCACAAACTCCATTCTGAATTGGCTAGGCTCCTGTAAGCCTATTTCAGTAACTGAAATGAAGGCTCTATCTGATTAATGGTAACAGTAAATTAGAGTTCTCGGATAGTGGCCACTCTATTCTGAGTAAATCAAACAGAAAGCTCCCCTCTCTGGGAGAACAGTCAGCCTGTTGACATAGCCCACTCTGTGTGTGTGTGTGTGTGTGTGTGTGTGTGTGTGTGTGTGTGTGTACACATAACTCATTCTTTGGAATTCTCCCATGGAAAAGCAAAGGAAGGAAGCTGAGGGGAGGATGGGGCGATTGCATCCTGTGCTCTTTGCAGGGGTGTGGCCACAACTGCCTCAGCCTCAGGGACACTGATACATGATGTTTTTTCACTTGGGATGCCTGAGCAGTGATAAGTCTTGATGAAAGGCAGGAGTGGCTCTCAGCGATGTTCTTAGCTGGACGGGAGTCTCCTGGTAGAGAACTGCTCAAATCCCACTCCGTGTTTCATTTCTAGGACGTTGGGGGAAGGGGTGAGCACCAGGACTGTCTGGAGTGGACCCCTAGAGCCCTCCAGGTTGTGTTAGGACTCCAGATCCTCTTTGGTTTGTTCTGGCCACTGCCACGCATGAAATTGCCAAGCGGGTAGGCCAGGTACGTGGTTTTAAGGAGGATGAAGCGTTTCTTCGTGCTGCTTCCTAAGTCTGATTTGAAATGATGGATCCTACCCTGGCAAAGGCAGAGAGGGACTCTCTGGGATTTTATGAGGTAAGGCGTTAGAAAGTTCTGTGAAATGAATTCCACTGTCATCTGATTTCCGTGTCCAGCTGTGTGGGATTTATAGTTCTCTCTGCCTTTCTCTTTGAAAATTCTTACTATTGTCCCCTCCCTGCTTGGTTAGGGACAATTACTAACAAATTATGCAGTGCATTTATCACATTTAGTCTTTGACAGCTCAACATAGGAGATCAGTGCTGCGATGAAAGCATGTAAAACTTCTGTAAATAGATACATAAACAAACGTGCAGTCCCCTTACTGTGAATTTCTAAAGTCCCACTGGTTTTAGATGAATTATTTTACTGTGAATGTTAAGTATGGGTTCTGCATACAAGAATGCTTTTGAAAATGACATTAGATTGAGTCCAAATAGATTTCATGACAGGTCATCAGCCTCTGGAATAATGATGTTTTTAATGGATTTAAAAACTCTTCTCTCAGGGACTGAGATGTTAAAACAGGTTTATTTGTAATGGAATGTTTGTATGGACAGGTATTCATAGACATTCACATGCTAAAGACTGATGATTTAACAACAACCCTACAACAAAACTTGAGCTTGAGAATAAAACCATTATTTTTTTTAAGATTTCCTTGTGGCAACTGTGGCAAAACTGGTTCTGTTTTCTATAGAGCTTCTAATCTGCTTTAATTAATTGTTTAAAACTGGGATGAATGCAGGGCAAAATTTTGGTTCTATTATAATTTTTTACAAATTAGTATTTTTAAATGAAAATTTTTAGTTTTTGGCTGTATTCCTAAAATAGTTCTCAAGGGTGGGTGTGGGGGTGTTACTTTTTATTGTCATGTAGGATGTAATTGGCATTTAGTGCCTGAGAGCCAGAGATGCTTAACCATTCCTGTAATGAACTGGACAGACCCTTACAAAAATTATCATTCAGAATGCGAGCAGCAGCCTCACTGAAAAACACTGATATCTGCTCAGTTTAATAAAAAGTACTCAGGCGAGCAGTCTAATCTCTGGGAAAGTTATCTGTCTTCTGATCAAGCCATTTGGGAAAGGACCCACAGGGAGTAGCCACTTCTGCAAAATTATTCTTTAGGATCAATAGCAATAACTGTTGCAAAAAATACTGCTCCCACATATTTCTAATTAGTATTTTCAGACTGAGTTTGGGTTAGCTCCAACAAGTATCTGGTTCACTTTAATGACTAACCTCCATCTTTAAATAAAGTTAAGCTCTTACAGTTTCCAGACCTGATTATATGAGCTCATTGAGATCAAAGGAGTAATTTACCCTGAACCAAAGGATGCTTCTGTGCTAAACATTATAGTTTATAATGGTTGTACATTTCTCAGAATCTTCAGTTGTCACATGCAAAGTAACATCCTGAAGGATCTAGAGGTTGCTTTTAAATTTCACTTAGATTAGAAGGGATTATCTATGATGTTTAATATGAGTGAGAGCTTAGTGTGTGCATGGTTTTAAAAAAATAATTAGCGGAAAGAAAGGAGGGCATGGAGTCAAAACTGTCATTCCTGGCACCTTTTTATACACACAGTGCTGTGACAGAGATCCCCAATTTGAGACTGTATTCAAAGCCTCGGATTTATCGTGTAGAGATATGAGAGCATCTCTGCCTGGCTCTTGATTAAGCCAGGCTTAAAGCTCATTGACAGAATTGTCAGCTTTGAGTGACCTTCCGTCCACGAACTGGGCAGCATTCAGATACTCTGTGTATCTACACAGGTACACAGGTAATGGCTTAAGGTACTATCACTGTATGTACAACCTGCACTTTCGTTGCCTGATCATTTGGCATCCGTTGCTAAAGAAAGCAGAGTCCCCGAAAACATAAAAATAATCATGCTTTTGTTTTAATTTATGTGTCTGTATTTATATTATGAAAAATCTGAATAAAATAATGTATTTAAAGGAAACATTTTAAAAGTTAAAACTAAGGAAAGAAGTTGAGGAACTGTGCCTTTGAGTGTTAAAAAAAGACATAGCTCTCTTTAAAAAGGATGAAGTGGATTGACAAGTTTTAAAAACCTACACATGTAGCTCCTAGCATGTGCCAGTCTCCCATGCTGTACTCGTGTATTCCTCACAGCTTTCTGAGTTAGGCGTGCTATTATCATTTTTATAGGATAAAGAAATAAAGTCCCTGAATTTTTAAGACTTGCCCAAGGTCATCCATTCAGTAAATGGGAAACAGAATTTCAACTCAAGTTTGCTGTTTCCTAATTTTCTGGGATTATCTAGCAGCCATATCCTGGCAACATCATTATCGAGCAGTATATTACTTGCATTGCACCTGTAATGAATGATACGTATATAAAAACAAAAGCATACTTTTATTGGTGAATAGAGGGTCCATGTGGACTTACTGCCAGTGATGTAGTAAATATGTTGCATTAAGGGTTTTATTGAGTTACTAAGTGATGGAGAATCAGAGCTTTCCGTTTTGGCTGATTAAGGTTGAGTGTGTGAAACTTGGACTTTCAGAAGTTGTCTGAATAACGAGGGGAAAGGGAAGAGCACGATGGACCTACAGAGGGATATCACAGGATGGTGGCTGGGCTTGGAGAGAGCTTAGAGATGGATGAGTCACTCACAGTCTTGTTGGACTGAAGAGTCTGGAGTCAGTTCATAGCCTTTTGCACTAAGGGTGGATATTTATAGCTCTGTCTGCACAGGAAAGATGGAGATGGGAGGAGGGGCACGTTTAGGTGATGGCTCCAAGGCTGGTGTGGGGTCTGGGCATGAAGCATCCTCGTGAACCGTTCCCTCTGTCCTTGTGCAATCTGCTCTGCACACTGCAGCCAGATGATTTTTTTTTTAAATGCAGATCATGTCCCTTCCCTGCTTTAAATTCTCCAGTGACTTTCCATTATCCTCACTCTTCACTGTGATAGATGGTGTTGTGCAGTGTCGAGAAGCGTGGCTTCTGGAGCAATGCAGCCTGGGTTCACTCTGCAGCACATGCTAATTTTGGGATTTGGAGCATATTCCTTCACTTCTCTGTGCCTAGTTTCCCCATCATTAAAAATCTAATAATAGCACCTCAAAGAGTTGTCAGAGGTTGCAATGAGTTAATAAAGGCAAAACAGTAGAACGGTGCCTGGCGCATAGTGAGCTCTGTCATGTTATTATCATCACTGCCATCTACAGGCTGGCGCTGCCTGTCTCCCTGCTCTCATCCGCTCCCGCTCTCTGCCTCGTTCGTTGTTCCCTCTGCGTCAGTTTGTTGTTCCTGGGAACGTGGTGGGCTTGTCCTCTTTCAGGTCCTTGCATTTTTGTTTGCTGCCTTTCCCCAAGTCTCCTTATACAAAACACTCTATTCAAGGTCCTGTTCAGATATTTCTGGCATCAACCTGCATGAAATAGTACTCCCACACCGCCCTCTCTCCCCTCTCTGCTCCCTGGCTTTCTTCACGCTATGTCACCGCTACCTGACATTACATTATATCTACTACACTTCCTGACCTAAATGTTATTCTGCATCTGGTTATTGATTGCTTTCCCCACTGGACCAAAATCTCCACCAGGACAGGGACTTTGTCTCCCTTATTCCCCCTTGAATCCCTCTCACTTAGAATATTGCCTGGCAGAGAGTGGATGCTCAATAAATGTTTGTTGAATTAGTATTCAATAAATTTCATTTCCCCCATCACTTTTATAATTGTTTCCTTTCTGATTTAGATCTTGAAGTATTCCTTCTAACTCTTGTTAGCCTGTCATCATCTTGCCCCAAATTATGGACCTTTAGAAAAAGATCATTTATCTACTCTGTCTCATGAAAGTTCTTTAGCAATGGGAAGCCTTTTTCTGAACTGTCAGCTTTGGTACAAGGAAGGGGATTGAGGCATTTTAGTATCATTGTTATAGAATATTCCCAAAGGGCCTAATCTTGGATCTTGTGCCAAGGTGTTTACCAAGCTACCTACCAAGTGCTGGTCATCCTTGACCTTTTAAAAGAGCTTGGGCTCACATTCTCACTGTAAAAGTGTAATTGCTAGAGGAAATGAAGCCATGCAAATGATGATGGGGAAACGTATGTACTGACAGCAATGTGTACTTCAAAGAGACTTTAGAAATTTTTAAGCCTCAAATTTTACAAAAAGCGCCTAATTCCTGCTGATATTTTTAACATGAAGTTAGCTACAACTATTACAAATTGCATATTCTGTTTTCACAATGATACTTATTATAAATTTTTATAATAGCCAAATAAAATACAGATTGTCTGTTTGGCATAAGTAAGCTTTTAATAATTTTTCCATTTGAGGTATTATCAAAGAATTTGAGTTTCCTATATTGTATATAGGAATACATTCAGTTGGGGAAAAATAAATCTTAATTTAGAAATATTCTGAAAGTCTTTGTCAGGGAAAAACTTGTTTAAGGTGTTTCAGAGACCTTTACCAGAAGCTGATCATGTGATCTTAGGTAAGCTAAGTCATCTTTTTGTGCATTGGGGATAGACTGTAAGATATAAACAAAGTTGAATGTCAGCTCAGCATAGCACTGTGATTGAATTAAGTTTACTGGAAATTCTAGTTATAAAAATTGAGAGTCTAAATAAATTGATCTTTTTCAGATAGTCTAATAAAGCTTACCATGGCATTTGCAGCCTTGCCCTTGTTTTTCTCTGTTTTGAACAGGACAGCAATCTCTTTAAAGAAGCTTTCTGCACTCCTCGGTGAGAATTTCATTTCTCTTTTGTATACTTTGACAATACAATACTGATATTCAGGTAATGCTGTTTCATCATAATTGAAAGAAGATATCAAGACCTTGCACTCAGCCAAATCTGAACAAATACTGTTCTAGTCAATGGAGATACATCAGTGAACAGAATAGACAAAAATCCCTGACCTCGTGGACTTTATATTCTAGAGAGAAAGACAGACAATATACAAGAAATGTAGAGATGTTATATAGTATGTTAGATGGTGGTAGGGTTGTGGGAAAGAAATTGAGCAGACTGAGGTAGTCCAAGACTGCTGGAGGCTGTCAGGGTCATTTTAAAGGGGGTGGTGAAGGTAGATTTCCTTGAGAAGGTGGTGTGCAAGCCAAAAAAAAAAAAAGTCAAAGGAGAGGATATATGGGGGAAAGTTTCAGATAAATAGACCCTGGGGAAGAATACTGAGGACATTGTTGAGGAGGGGAACAAAAAACAAACTTTCCTCTGTTCTCTTAGATTTGGCGACTGGACCTGCAAATCAGACTGACAGAAGACAGATTAATAGGAGAAAAGGCATACAAGTTTTATCTGATGTTAAAAGTTTAATTTCTACCTGCATGGAAGCCTTCATGGAAACAGAATAAAGACCCAAAGAAGTGGCTAAATTCAGGGGGCTTATATGCCATTTTAAAAAAGGGCAATAAATTGTGGAGAAGCAAATAGAGAAAGGAAAATGGGGGTTGGCTTCTAGGGGTGATAAATTGTGGGAAGGTAAATATATGGGGAAACTAATGGAAGATAAGGGTTATTTAGTAAGGTTTGTTACGCAGACTGAAGTTGGTCCTTCTCCACTGATAAGAGTGGTGATTAAGAGTCATCTTACTCTTCTGATATGGGAGATGGCAATGCCTTTACAGATGGAAATTTATGTCCTGCTTTTAGATGTAAAGGGGGAGGGTGGAGAGCTAATTGCTTTCAGCAGAAAGTGGTGTATTTTGGCAGGGCCTCCTCTGACCCCCTTCAATATCCAGGAATCCAGCGCGTCTGGAGTGGAGCAAGGAGGGAGGGGGTGACGGTAGGGGAAGATGAGGTGAGAGCTGTAATTTGGAGGGTGGAGTGGGTGGGAAGGGGCCCTCAGATCTGGTAGGGCACTATTAACCTCCAGAAAGACTTGGAATTTTCCTCTGACAGAAACAGGGACCCACTGAACAGGAGGTGAGACACATTTCAATATGTAAACATTACCTGAGTTTAAGATGAATTCTTCCGTAAATCATATCAGACTGAAACTCTTGGAAGGTTTCTTGCTGAAATGAGTCCTGTGGTTTCTTCTCACTGGACTCTTGGTGGTTCCCCCCTTGTCAAAATGAGTGTTCAGTGGACTCGTTTCGGATCAGGTATTTTATATGGGAAGTGGCTTAGCAGAGCCTCCTGCCTCTGCCCAGCATGTCTGGAGGTCTGCATGTTCAGGAGACCCCTCAGGGATGTGGGGGGGATTTGGCGGTAAGTTATGTTGCCTGGCATGGATCTACATTGAACATTCTTCAAATTGGGTTCCCCTGACCCCCGGTGAGGCCTCTTGTAGAGGAGACAACGATAAAGCTTCTCTCTCATTCCTGGGGGTGTACTGAATCAGCACGTGCACCCCACGCCACTCCCCGCGAGTGCTCCCTTCCAGCCAGCGAGGCACTTGCCTTCCAGTGCAAACATCCCCAGAATCAGACCTGGATGACTCGCCAGTGGCTCTTCTCAGAAAAACCAATGCCATGTTCCCAAATTCATGAGGAACTTTGTTAATGAATTCTCACAGCACTTATAATTGGTGCTGTTTAGTACAGTCAGTGGTAAAGAGTCACCCCTCCCCTGCAGCATGGTTCACATCTCGGTCACTGTCAGTTTTCTTATTGCACTGCTATGGGATTTCATAACTCACTTAGTACATGCCGGTAAATTTACAAAGTTTTAACAGTCAAGCAACCCCTGGGAAGGTGTGTTTTTGCCCAGGTCTAGAACAATCATTTTGATTAAATTGTAGCTTAGTATTGCTCTCCAAATCCCAAATCCCAGACAAGACGTCAAATTTCTGAGTGTAAACTGAATAAAGCCAGGCCCCTTTATGATCCAACCTCAGGATACAGTTATATTCGGTTTGTATACAAAAGGTAATTTAAAATCAATTTAGATGTTTATGCCATTTTTCAAGAAAATGGAGGGTGGAATTACTTTAACGCAAAAGAAAATTTGTAAGCATCATTTTTCATTTCTGTCAGTCTGTCACATGGCATCTTTTCCACAAAATTTCTCATCTTTTTTTCCTAACAACCCTGAGTTGACTGTTAGAAGAGTGAGGACTTTGAATACTTTTTTTTGGTTCCTATTTTATCTCCAGTACTGTATGGAGGTTTGGGAAATATTAAAATAGACATAGAAACATTTCCAAATCCAAATTATATTTGGATCTGTTTGATATGTCTAGTCATGTCGCCTATATATTCTTTTATTACCTTAAATTCTATTCATGGGACATTTTCTGGAATCCAAAACTCATGTACAGAAAAAAAAAACCTTATTTTCACACTGATCTGTGCATGAAAAATTTATGGAGAAGGAAGAATTTGGAGCATGAAAGACTTAATGCTTATGTTATTTTTGGGTTTTGTGACATTTAAAAAAGAATTCATTTATTTTGAAATTATTCTTTACAGCAGTATTGTAGGTTAATAAAATTAATCCTTCTCTTCCAAGGAAGAAAAGGATAATGTCTTGGGGCCCAGGCAACAACAGGAACTTGTACCCCTGAATTCAGCTCTAAATATGCCACATGTTTGTTTTTTCTGATGACCATTCATGGAACCAAAACATGAACCCTGGGAGATAAAACAGTATGTCTAGGGAATAGTGAAGCAAACGAATGGATGACCTTAATGACTGGCTTAAATGTGTAGACCTCCCAAAGGGTATCTCCACGTGCATCTCCTGAAGATGCTTCCAGTGTCAGATTATACATGGTCACAGGGAGAGTAAGTCATTCTTCCAGTTCTACTTTAACACTTTATAAAGCATGCTTCTCCTACTCCACCACCAGCTCCTTATGGCGGGAAATGGGTGTTCTTGACTTTCATAGTAAGCAGTTAGTAAGTGCCACTCAAATGAAGGAAGGAAGGAAAGAAGGGAGGGAGGGTGGAAGGGAGAGTGGAAGAAGGAAAGAAGGAAGGAACAGGCTAACAAATGGGAGGGACAATAGTCAAAGAGATGTCCATGGTCCACAGCTTCGCTGTGATTGCTCTGTTTTCCTAGAAATTACCATGGGACAGGTTTTTTCCATGTGTGGTGTTTGTAGCACCTTTATCAGAATCACCTGGTTGGGGTGCTTGCTAAAATTCAGATTCCTGTGTCTTGACTCAGACCTGCTGAATCAAAATCTTGGAAAGAGCAGCGCAGAAATCAGCATTCTGAAGGAGCCCCGAGGAGACTCACTGTGAGCAGTGGAGTTGCCCTGGAGGATCAGTTAGCTAAAGGGGAAGGTAGCCAGTGATGGTCTGTGACCTACTGAATGTTCAGGAGATGTCAGTAAACCTGCTTATATAGAGATTTTGGTTAAGACCCCAAGGTAAAATCATGTGGTTCTCATTAAGGAAAGAGAGTTGTTTCCCACCTAATTAACCAGATCTAAGAAGATCCTCTGAGCCACTATACTCTGTAGTTAATAAAAGAGAGTTGTTCTGCGTGGTGTAATCTTACATCCCTACTCCTTATTTCCTAAGTCCAAACCCTTTTCTCCCTAACAGAAGTAACGCCTGTATTGATAACAGAATTAATTGGAAGAACCCTAAAGAGTACAGGTGACCTTTAAACAACACGGGTTTGAACTGCTCGAGTCCACTTATAAGTGGATTTTTTTCAACAGTAAATGCAACAGTAATACATAATCCATGGTTGGTCGAATCTACAAATGCAGAACTGCGTGCAGTTAAGGAGGGACCAGGTCACAAATACAGAGAGCCAACTGAAGTTATATGTGGATTTTTGACCACAGGGAGAGGTGGTGCCCCCATCCTCTGCCATTGTTCAAGGATCAACTGTAATAAAAAAAAAAACAAAACACTATATGAGATCATTTTGGGAAAGAATCATGGATTGCTTAAATAAGGCAAGCGTAAAAGTTTTCAAAAGTTTTTTTTGATAATGTTCCCACAATGTTCATAACAGAGAGGTATGAAAATTATATTAAAAGGACTTTAAGGCTTTTTTGGTGTGTGCTTTGTTTTTCTATTTAGAAGAAACATACAGCCAACTAAACTTATAAGAGAACAAAGAGTATATATGAGACATGAGTGGACAAGCTTTATATAAACCCTACCAAACAAAATTAGATTTAAAGAAGGTATTTAGGTACATGAATTAAATATCTCCAGTGTTTCTTTTTGTAATTATATTCCAACTAGAAAGTTACCTAACGTATCTAGAATATAAACTCCTAGAACACAGACTCCACTGTAACTGGAAAACAGACCCTTTAATCCTAGTAGGAAGGGAAATAAGAGTGGGGATGGGAAAGGAGGCACGGAAGGCAACGGTCAAAGAGCAAAAGCAGGAAAGCATAACTCATGGGAGCTGATGTGTTTCTAGGTTGAGGGGAAGAAGCTAAAGGTCAAGGTGAGAGAAGGTGACTGATAGAAGGGACTGAGTCAAGAGCACCTCCATGATGGGTGGTAGAACCCTGGGCAAGAAGACAAGAAGTAGGTATGGACATAGAAAAGACGGCAGTAAGGAGATGGAGAGACCAGGGAGATGGGGCCTGATGTCCTCCGTGTTTCTGATGCTGTAAAATGCATGGTACCGTGTTCCAGAGGGTGGAAGTTAGATAGGGGATGTGAGGACATTGGGTCAGATTTGAATAGTTGTTAAGAGAAATGCGGAAGGGAAGTGGCCAAGCACAAATGGAACAATTGATACTCGGCTTCAAAGACCAATGATGTCTCTTTGATCTATCAGAGCCTTTATTCAGTTAAAGGAAGAAATAGATTTACAATTACGTCTATAATGTACTTGTAAGGAATTTAGAACCCTTTCTTTGATATACTGTGTTATGTATACACTGTTGTTTTTCTTATTGGGAGTGGGGGCATCTCAAGAAGACTGAATCACCTAATATAAATGTTAAATGAGGGTAAAGGAAAACAACTTACACAATCTGGGAAAAAATAGTCTGCCCTCAGATGTCCATGAAAAACAGATCTGAGCAAAGAAGTGCTGTCACTGGAAAGACGTTCTTGGGCTGGACTAGAACGGACTGCAGCCTAAGTGGAGGTGTTAACCTAATTAAAAAGAAAAGTTTGAAGGATCAGTTAAAATTGGTGTTCTTCAAACGAAGAGAAGGGCTGAGTCGTTCTAGGTGCTCTTTAGTATGGTGCCACCAAGGCTGGCCAGCGCTCTGCTAGCTCGCAGCAGCGGGAGCTGGGTAGTGGTGGGGACTGGGCCAGCCGGAGCTGAATCATTTGAACTCTGTGCTCCTACACTGGCTTATTTCTAGGGGTTTTTTGTATTTTCAGTTGAGTAGCTGCACTCGATGGCAGGAGTGCTAGTATCTGTCAGGGATAATGAATTATCAGAAACACAGTCTCATCAGAGAAACATTTCAATCTAGGATAACCAAAATATTAACCAACTTGGGTAACTTCTGCGTGACAGACACTATGCTTGGTGGGGAATGAGACCTCCCACAAGAAGGCTTACAGGATCGCTTCTCGCTGTGGCATTTGGACTTTTTTTTTTTTAAATCCGAAGAGACCCATTTAGCTTTTGCTTTGGTCCTGCTCATCCTAATTCTGACCCGTTTCTCACATATATGAGACATTTGAGTGCCACATGAGCCTGAATTCTCATGGTATAATTTCAACATTTTACTCCAAGGGGTTAGACTCTATTTTTTTTAAACACCATAAATTTAACCAAATGGAGTTGTCTACATTGCCTATGAGCTGATGAGAGGAGAGTCAGAGATAGATGGCTTATCCCAACCCACATGAGTTGATGGATGAATTGAACACTTAACTTCTACGTGCCTTTCTTGGTAAGGGGCCCGGAGAGGAAGCACCCATAACTCATTCTCCCTTATTTCCGACTTCTGAGAGTAAAGAAAAATATTCACGCAATGTAGTATTTCTACCTTTAAGCAAATGTGACTGGCAGAGGAAAGTCATCAGTGGCCTTCCTGGAACAGGAGATGCTGACATTGGTTCTCTGAAGTTCTCCAGGGAACACGTAAGGGATTGTGTCAAGCCTCAGAAATCATTTCTTTGTGATGTAAGATGTATCGTAAGTCCTCTCGTGATAATTCTCATTCCGTTATTCCTCTCCTTCTATTTTTGCTCTTCTGAGTTCCGTCTTCCCAAGGTTGTGGTGTCATAAGTGTGTCCTTGGTTTGGCTTAACTGATGGCTTGGGCAGGAAAAGTTCAGTTATAGCTGAAGTGCAAACCCTCTTACGGTGTGGTCACATTTTAACAAGTACAGTTTTCTTACTGTTGCTTTTTGTCATTTTGATCCTAATGCATGTACCTTAAAACAAGGCTTGATGCTGCCTCATCTTTCCTGAGGCTTCAAGAAGAAACTGACACAACAGTATTTTCAGAAAATTTCCCGTGTGTGTAGCCGTGTTTTTCCAAAAAGCATTTTGAACAGCTGGGCACCTTCTATTCCCCGTGCCTGTGTTCTGTTCCCTGAAGGTCCAGCTTTCTGTGCCTTCCAGGTGACCAACAGCTAGTAAAATACATTTACTTGTGACAACATGAGAGTCTTCGAGCTTATCCAAGCAACTCTGCAGCTCTGCTCGTTAAAGTATGTCTTAGAAAGCAAGAAACCACCTCTGTTGTCTAACCTGCGGCAGTGATGCAGTCCCAGCCATTCTGGGTCACATTAGGCGTGATGAGTCTAAATCACTGAGTGATTTTTAGGATGGCATGTGTTAGGTTAGGAATTGTGCTCAGCTGCAAGTAACAGAAACCCAACCACAGGGGCTTAAGTAAATAGGAATTTATTTTAACTAGGTAGCAAGAAGCCTGAAAGTCACTCAGGCCTCAAGAAATCATCATGGATGCTTCTGGCTTCTTTCTTTGCCATCCTTAGCCTTTTCTAAGAAGAGTGGAGAGGGAAGAGCAGGATTACTGAATCAGTCCTTTAATCCATCAGAAAAATGACAGCTTTCCCAGAAGTCCCACCCAGAGACGTCCACCTGCATCTCACTGGCCAGAACTAGGCCACATGCCACCCTTAGCTGCAAGGGATTTTGGAAAGCCGAGTATTTTTTAATAGGATGTATTGTTACCTTGGACAAAATTGGAGTTCACCTGCTGAGGAAGAATCTCAGTGAGCAGGATCTGCCCTGAGGAGCCACATGACATCTTCCAAATCTAGCTTCCGGTCATTGCCTTAGCACCTTCCTAGTATGAGCTCGTGGTTATATTTCTGTGATGGAACGGAGTGGTTTTCCTTGTGTTGTTTGTCTATGAGAGGAAGTGACACCCAGAGTAGGTTATGCCTTTTTATTCTTACAACAGCAGTGGCTGCTTCTTGGCCTGTCATGATAAAGCATCTTTGACTTAATACTGTGCTGATTCCAGATAGCATGAAGGAATCCTTCCTCCAGACTTCTTTGGCTTCTCAGTGTGACGAAACCAGCGGCCCCAAGGACAACCACAGATGGAAATCCCTCAGAGCTAGGTTATCCAACCCCTCCTGGCCCATTTTTGGTTTCTTTTATGCTCATAAGAAGTGAGGTTTTTCTTCTCAGGACTGTTCCCTCAGGCTTGGGCCCTTTTCCCCATCTTTCTTTTTTTTGTGTATTATCTCTTACTTCGTCCTGTCTGCTTAGTGCCAGCCCTCAGTTAAAGTGTGTCCCTAATCTTCCCTCTTGGGAAAGGGATTTGGGGAAGCAAATGTGGTACATCTTTAATAGCCAGTGTCACTGTCCACATTTCTGTGTACCTGTAAACCTCTGAATGGTCTCTTTTTCGTGTTTTTAGTTTCATTTCCGATCCCAGGGGCCTAAAACAGAGCTTCAAACTAGTGCAATGTGAGCAAGTTAAAGACCATGAATCCCTTCCACCTGCAGGTTGGTGGGGCAGAGGCTGGGGCACCCAGAGCATCCCTACTGTCATCTTAAGTTGTGAGTGTCTCTCTCATGTACCCCAGTGTGCCCTACAAATGTCACCACTTTCTATGTGCATGAGGTCAGAGAATTTGGAAGAGGCTGCTTTCAGGCCTGTGCTTTGGGTCTGTCTTTTCTATCCCTCTTCCTTTTTCCTCTTCTTGTATTGGCTCATGGTCTACCACCGCTGACCTTTTATGAAAGGTGTTCTAGCAGATCTGATGACTTGGTTGGTGCCTCCTGAACACTGTCCGTGGCCAACGTGTGCCATGTCTTGACTCAGTTTCATCACTTAATGTCCCCTCCCGCCCCCCATCTTGATTCTGTTGTCTTCTCCCAGCTTTGCTCTTCCTTTCCTTTTTATGAAGGATTTTATAGACGGGAGCTCACCCAACCCCTTTCTTTTATGTCATCTCATCACTGGTTGATGAACAATGGTACCCTTTGTTCTTTGCAGTTTTGTTTTTTGGCAACGTTGACCAACTTGGCCAAGCCCGGACATGCCATCTTCTTTCCACCTTCCCACCCTCCTCCCCATTTCTCACCTACAAATGCAAGTATAGAACTTAAGGGTATAATCTGAGGGGAGGTAGTCAGTAACAATAGTGCTCATTCATAGTTTCCCCTTTATCTTTTTTTCCATTTATTTTACAACTTGTACTAGTCTTTGAGCTAAGGAAAGACAAAGAAGTTGTAATTAAGCTAAAAAATGTTTCTTTGGTTTTTCCAGATGAGAATTCTCCAGCCAACTTCTGGGATTCTAAAAACAGGGGTGTGACCGGAACACAGAAAGGACAGATTGTATGGAGAATTGAGCCTGGGCCCTACTTCATGGAGCGTAAGTAACTATATGTGAAATATAAGTTTGTTACTGAACTTTGCAAAAATATGCTGAATTCTATGGAGTCTTTTCTGAATTTTATTGTAAAAGTTTTGGGCTCTGATTTATAAACTGTATGCCATGTAGCCCCAAGCTGAAAAATATACTGTTTTGGAAAATACTCGTTAGAGAATGTTCACATATTTTTCAAAAAGTGTCTGTGTGTATATGTGTGTGTGTGTGTGTGTGTGTGTGTAATACATATACCTGATTAATGTATGGTATATAAATTATGTATGGTTATTTTAATACTTTAAACATTTTTAGAGACCCTTGTACCTACATTTGTAATTAGTATTTACTACATTAATTTCAGGGAGCAGAAAGAATAATTCAAGATTTCAGTTAATTTAGGAATTTTATTTGCCTTTAGAATACTTCACTATCATTTTTCCCAGAAGCAGAACAACTTTTGTACTTGGGTCTTGGTCTTTACAAATGTAGGTAAAATAGTCTGGGGCACACTGCCATAGAGATCAGTTTACTAGGAATCAGAAATTGGCTGCATATAACCATTACCCAATTGATCTGATACTTTATTTATTTATAAATATGAATGCATATATATAGTACTTATATATAGTATTGTATATATAAATGATCTACTGGTTGGTCCAGGTTAACTTCTATGCTTACAGAATTTATTTTTCTTTAATGCAGAAAAAAATTAGCTCTTTAAAATTTTTCTAAGCTGTTTATCTATGTGTAAGAACTAACTTTTCTATATGCAAGAGATTTAATATGAGAGAGGGAAGAGTGGATAGTGGCACTTAAGAATGGCAATTATTAAACCATAGAATGCAAAGTGTGATTTGGTTGAGTGAAAACCTGCTGTAAGCATGTCTTTTTTGAAGCATGTAAAACCTCTGTAATATAAAAAGCCATTTTAAAAGATTAACATCTATTATTTTGAATTGTCACAAAGACACCAGATAATTCCTTTGACCATCCTTACTGGTAGGTCAGCATTACATAGCTTTCTCTAACCCTGCTTCTGCCCCCTAAGCTCTGTCTTTTTTTTTTTTTTCTTTCATAGTTCAATTTCTGGCTAGATTCTCTCTTTAAACCTTACATAGAATGTAGTTCTTAAGGGAAAATGCTCATGATATAACAATAAGTGAGGGAGGCGGGTGGGAAGCAGATCCATGCAGCATAATCCCAGCCAATACAGCGTAGAGGAGAAAGTCTGCAAGGAGATTTGCCAAAGTGTGAACAGGGTTGTTTCTGAGAGGTAAGATTATGAGTGATTTGTTTTTATTGCCTATTTCTACTTCTCTTTACTTTCCAATGTTGGTCCAGCAGCCATTACTAAGTAATGAAAAAAATAAGTGACAAAAGAATATGGTAAAAGTGGAATGGGAGATAGCAGGGTTTAATGTGATTCCTCCTTTGAAAAGATCCCAAGTTTTAAGAGGCTGATCTTGCTAAGAAATACTGCCAACTGAACTTCAGGGAAAAAGGCGAGACAACCTTCTTGTTCTCTCCAAAATGCTGAAGAATGCTAGGAATGATTGCCTCTTGATGGAGTGTGCAGATTCATTCTATGGAGTGCATGTGAACATCTGGGAAGAAGTCGGTATCACGCTCTGCTATAATTTGGAACATTGTGTGTAAAAACTTACAGAACATACCAATTGCCATGAATAATTTTCTTTCTCCATGAAGTATGAATTAGAGATTCATAGTGTCCTGGCTGTCCCATGGTGTTTTTCTTTACATCTCACTCTTAGTTAATAGAAATGGGCTTGACATTGAAGCTAGGAATTGAGAATGCTTTTGCTTTTCTCCTCTAATGTAGCGTTTCCACCTTAATTCTTCACACGCAAAATTGGGGTAGTGTGTAGCATGATTGTAAAACTGGGAATGTTCAATAATGCATTTTTTAAGGATGGAGAAAAGTTGTATGAGTTAAAGTACAAGACAGTGAATAGGATTTACAGAAAGACTTGGCTTTAGAATAAGTTAGAGTGGGGCCTCCCCAATGTACAGCCCTATCCTTTCAAAATCCATTCAGTGTAAAAACTTCAGGTAGTATTCATATCGGTGCTTAGAAGTGTAGTCCATGTCTTTTAGACATCAAATTTTTTTTTTTTAACCTCATGTCTGGCTAGAGCAGACCTAAGGGGACGTCCCAGCATAATGAGGTTTTGCTTGAATCTCTGGAGCTGATGGTGTGGAACTTAAAAAAAGCTGGGAGTGGGGGATGGTTAAACAGCTTCTATATTTTCAACCTCTGATCTTGAAAACTTATGGTATTTAAAAACTTTTGCTTTCATCTTCAGAAAGAAAATTTATCTTTAGCTAATCAGAAGTCCAAGCAAAGTGAAATTCTCTGAAAATTGACGTAAGTTCATGTGCAAACCTGGATTTGGGTGCTGTCTAACCTATTTCTGAATCTAAAGATGGCTTTCATTTATCTGAATAAACATTCAGAGGAGGCAGGTGGCCCAGACTTATATTATTTCAGGGCCTACTGGAGTGAATTTGAAGGACAAAGACAGGTTTAATTTTGGGTAAATGACCTACCTCGACATTGGAGAGGAGGATCAGCTTCATCTGCACTGACTTGTCATAAGACTGTCAGAGTTCCTCAAATGAGCTCATGCTCACAGAAGATGAATGGGTCATCTGTGCAGTGTGTTTTAAAATGTTGGAGGTTTCAAAAGTTGTCTTGGCGTGCTAGCATATCTGTGTAATTCTGTGCAGTTTTTCACAGACTACAGTCATTCATTCACTCAGACCTGCTTTTAGTTCTGCCTTCATTCCTTCTATTCATCTGTCCATCTAGGCCCCCAGCCATCATGAGATATTTAGTTGGGTGCCAGCTTTGTGCCAGGCACTATTCAAGAACTCACTAAATCCTGGATCCATGAATGAGCTTACAGTCACTTCATTGCTGTGTACTGAACTGCTTTGTGATCATTAACTATAATCACAGGACATTGCTGTTTGTATAAACTACGTGGTGCTTTCACATACCTAATCTGTCTCAGCCCTGGGAAGCGGGCAGGACGAGGAAACTGCTCACCAGAGATGCATGTGGCTTGTGTGAGAGCCTCGTCTCTGGCCCTCAGATTAGTGTGCTTCCCCAGATGCAGGGCCTGTCCAAAACAGAACCTTTGTGGGTGGCTTTTTACTGGGCGATGGGGAAGGGTTGGCCTCAGCTTCTTATTTGTACTGTCTGAGCCCCTGCTCTAACCTTCTGCATTCTTAGGCCCCTTCCCACCAACATCAGAAGAGCCTTTTGCCCCTTAGAGATTTGGTGCTTTTCTTTCTCTCCCAGAATATTTTATGTTTCAGGTCCAGTTACTTCTCTAATCCTATTAGCTTCTGCCGTATTACACTGATATTGTCTGTCCTTGATTTTTCAAGATGGTCTTTCTGAGCTTTAACAGGGGAGGGCCTGGCCCTTTCAGGCTGCATTAGTCCCTGTGAAAGAGAAGACAACTGCCGTAACATATAAACGAGTGAGCACGTGACTGGAAATGTGGGTAAATTTCCTCAAAACCGTGAGAATTGGAGTGTGTTTACTCTTTCCCAATTTGTAGCCTCTGAATAAAAGAGCTTATCCATAAGAATCATAATATTAAGAATGTAATAAAGGCACAAAGGTAGTGGTTAAAATCACGTTTTAGAATAAATTGCAGCTGGCTTGGCTTTTTAAAGATTACTTTTTTAATGAAATAGAAATGATTAAAGGAAAAAAGCCATGTCCATTCCATCCATCTTTATGGTTCGAAATGTTCAACTTCTAAAACCTGAGAAAAGCACAGATTTTCTAGATAGGAGCAAGCTATTAACGACTGTCCAAGTGACTCTTAGAGCTATTTAAGGTGATGGATGGTGTTTCAAAGATCTGTTTTTGAAACAAAACTACTTCTTGCAGGGAGTGGCCAGTAGAACCCTTCTTCAGAGAGGGCTTGAAATAGAATCTTATACCAATGCCTAGAGTTTATGTAGCTAAGTTGAGATTGTTTTTAAGAAGTAATTTTTGAATAAGGAATATACATATATATGCATAACTGAATCCCTTTGCTGTACACGTGAAACTAGCAAAACATTGTAAATCAACTACACTTCAATAAATAAATAAGAAATAAAAAATAATTTTTGGATAGAAAAGAGTTGAAAGGAGCATAATGTTTAAAAGACACAAAAAGTGAAGGTAAATATCTCCCCAACTTCATGCCCCAGTCACCAGTTTCCCTTTCCTGAAGGCAACCACTTTTGCCAGTTTCATGTGGTCTTTCTAGAAATATTTTATTCTGTACAAACCCAGAAATATATTCTCCCTTTAAACAGATGGTAGAATGATTGCTTTAAAAATGCAATGTCAGAATGACACAATTACAGAAACCTTTTCCTTAGGAACAAGTGTAAATTCCTTCCACCTTCCACTCCCCCCAAGTACAAAGTACCATCTTTGGACAACAGTCGCCCTCCCATCTGATGTGGACTTGGAGCTGGCATGCTGCTGCTCTGGGGGACATCTTCATTGGTATTTATGGAAGTTAGTAAGTTAAAATTAAAAAAATAAAAGGGCTTCTATGTCAGCATTTAAATAGAGGCTACTAAATCTTTTAGTAACTCTATAAACAAAAGTGTCCAAAAGATTGTTGAAGGGGTCAAAATACACTTCCTTGATTAATGATTGGCTTCAGCTGTTCAGAAGGGAAATGAGCGAGAAAAGATGCCACTCAGGCAACGCACTCTTCCTTCCCAGGTGAGCGCCGGCCCAGCAGACTGCAGGTGCTCGCAGGCTACTGTGCGAGTCCTCACCCTTCTCCTGGTTTGCTGCCCTATGAGGCAGCGTGGTTTTTATAAGTTGATTTTTTGGTGAAAATACTCTTGCTTTTTATAATCCAAAGGAATATTTATATGTATTCCCCCTCTATAATTTGAGGCCAGTAGGATTTTGTTGCCACATCAGGTTGTGTGGAAACTGTTCTCAGGTAGAATGCGCCTTAGTCTGTATCCTCTGTCTTTCTTGCCTGTGGGCAGGGCTGGCCTCGTGGACAGTGGACTCTTCCCTTACCTGTTGCTCTGTCATCACACCTGCATTTGCTTTCACCTGTTCTTGTATCTGTGTCTCAGGAATAGCTTTCTGTTTTCCTCTTGCAGTTAGAGGTTAAAAGCGAAGCTAACACAGATGCATGAAGACCAACTTCCCTTTTCCACCCCTTTGAGTATTCTTCCCAGAATTCTTACCTCTTCTCGTAACTAAAAGGATCAAGGACATCAAAATGCTGCTCTCTCTCCTCTCTCTCCCTCAGAGGAGGTGGTGCTTAGTTACACCGTTTTTCAAAATCTTGAGTAACCTCCTAAAACACTAAATAATATGTGAAGATGAAAACTCCCACTGAGCATGAAATAGTCCTATATTTTAGCGGGAGGGCAGAAGTCTTCACTAGCGTCCTGCTGGAGGAACTGGCTAGTTTCGGTCCAGGTACAAATAGCTAGTTCTGTCTGGTACTGGGTTTTTCTCCCTGGTGACCAGCCTGTGCACTGGTGAGCTAAGTCCCCTTAGCTTCACACTGAATCTTTTTTTCCTTCTATGATATTTTCTTTTCTTTCTTTTTTTTTTATTGAAGTATAGTCGATTTACAATGTTGTTGATATACAATGGTATATATCATAGTGATTCATTTATACATATATATATTCCTTTTCATATTCTTTTTCATTATAGGTATTACAAGATATTGAATATAGTTCCCTGTGCTATGTAGTAGGACCTTGTTGTTTATCTATTTTATATATAGTAGTTTGTATCTGCAAATCTTCAACTCCCAATTTATCCCTCCCCACCCTCTTCCCTCCTGGTAACCATAAGTTTGTTTTCTATGTCTGTGATTCTGTCTGGTTTTTTTTTTTTTTACATCGAATCTTAAAGCATCGTGAAGCTGTCAGCTCTGTGGTTTTTGGTGATCGTGTCCATGAACTCTGCTTTGCACAATTCAGAATAAATTTATCTTATAGCTTCAGGGATTCTAATTTATCATTCAGGTTGGAGATTTTTGTTTTAGCAAGGAACAAAATGATACTCAAAACAGTTCAGCTAGCAAGCTGGTCTGGCTATTAACATTTTACAGATAAAAATAATCAGTCACTTTTTTGAGGTCTCATTGTGTCTTACCTAGCTGACTAAGAAAAGCTTAGAAAAAGAAGAGACAGGATCCTAACTTGAGAGGGAGTTCGGGGAAGATGTTTCCTATAAATGCATTTCTCTTTATTGAAAAATGAGCTGCTCACTCACTGGCCATTGATCTGATCTGTGAGGTACAGCTGCGGGCAGATCCACAGATGGCTGGTTCCCGGCACTTAGAATGCGATAGTAATGAGCTCATGCCCGCAGAATTCAGTCCTCCTGCCTAGCTTGGCTTGTTGCTTAGCTTTGTTCTTGTGGAATACATGCTGTTGGTCTTGGAGGAAAGCAAGTGGGACAGTAGGGTTGGCTCAGACCCATACAGCTATTACAATTTCAATAATAACTAAAACCCATGTCAGTGCTCAGGAAAAGTCACTGATGCAGCAGCATTCCAGGGAAATCACAGTAAAGCTGGTATTCCTGCAGCAGTGGTCCTGCTGGTCCTCAAGCCAGCACGCTCATTCCTGCTTCCCTGTGTGCCACCCCTCACTCCTGACTCTCTCTAACCCCATTTTTCTCAGCTGCAGGTTTAAGTCCTGATCTCTTTGTTCCGTGAGGCCTTCCTGACTCTGCTGTGCCCTCACGAACTTTCCCCACGGTCTCCACACTTTTACCTGGCGCTCTGCGTTTTCCGGGCTTGTCATCATAACAGCCGCCTTATAACACACCTGCTAGACCAGAAACCTTTCTTTGATGCCCTTGCACTGTCTGGCATAGTTCTGGGCATGTATTCGACCTGGACATGGTAAAAATCTTTAGCTGGATGATGCCGACCACATTGTGAATCTCTGCATCATGAGTAACAAATGTAATGGACTCAATATTTTACCCCATGATAGACCTTTTTTTGTGATTTAGTATTTTTTCATTGACAGGATATATAATATCTTTGTATATAATATTCCTAAATACTCCAAAAGAAGATTTTTCTTTATTCATTATAGCCTTCTTTTAAAATAAGTAAACCAGATACTCTGTAGGAAGCATTTTATGCATCAGGAAAGTTAGTGGAAGATGAACTTCCTCAACGCTGAGTGGCCCCACTTTAATAATCCAGGTGACTCAGTTGAGAGAGGACCTCCACTCCTGTAGACTGGGGCTCTCCTCTGGGGCCTGCCCATCAACATCATTGCCTATATTAAATGACAGCTCAGGAAAAAGACACCTCACGGTACAACTTCAGTGACTCAGATGCTGTGTACATGGAGAAATTTCGGTGACTCTGGGTTTTATCTTTGTCACACATTGGCTTCATGGTAATCGTAGTTACTTTCCAAAAACAATAATTGGCATTAGTATTGCTTTTTATCAAGCTCAAATTATATAGTGTGTATATACATATATATATATATGTATACGTATATATGTATGCACACACACACACCCCTGTAGTTACATACACACATACACACCTGTGGAAATATAGATACAAATTTACTGGTGTTTCCTAAATTGGATCCCTGTCTAGTGGCAGCATTTAAGTACATGGAAAATTAAAATCATACAGATTCCCAGACCCTCTCATTGCAATCTACTACAGCATTCTTTCCTGCTTTGTTAGACTGCTCTTGTTGCATTTCCATCAATGGCTGCAGTCTGTCTATACTGTAGAGGTTAAGAGTGAAGGCTTTGGAATCTGATAGACAGGGTTTGAGTCCTGATTCGGTCATTCCCTGTTTGTTTGACCTTTGGCAAACCCCAGCACTTCACCTGCACTATGGGGACAGGAACTTCTGCCTCCCAGGGTTGCTGTGACAGGAGCGGAGATGTGGCACTGTGTCTGGTAGAGCAGGAGCACCCAGTAAAGGGCAGCTAGTCTTTTTTTTTTCAGTCTGTGCACTATCTATTCATATTTTGGCGTGTTGTCTTTGTGCACTATTTTTCTAGTATATTTGGGATGTTCTGAGAAATTTCAGAGAAGCATATAAAATCAAACAGGCATTGGTATAATCTGCTGCCTCTGATGGGAAAAGAGGGTCCCTTAGAGTCATGAGTAGGATTTTCTGAGAGGTGATGCCTAGGTGACTTGTTTCAGTGTATAAATTACTGTTTTTCTCCAATCCTTTTGCAGCGGAGATAAAGATTTGTTTCAAGTACTACCACGGCATTAGTGGAGCCCTGCGAGCCACGACCCCCTGCATCACGGTGAAGAACCCCGCGGTGATGGTGAGCGCCCCTCATGCAGGCTTCCTCCAGCCTCAGTCCCTGAGCCTTGGTTTCTATTTTTGCCAGTGTGGCTCTGGCCCGGTTACTCGGAACAATGAGAAAGGAAACACATAACAGCGGGGGCGCCGTTTTGGGAAAGGAAATAACTTACAGAATGGTTTCCCTAAGCCTATAATACAAATAAGTGGGAAAATATGACTTGATTTATAACAATTCTGTATATAGGCAGTTCTTCCGGGAACCCACTCATGAAGCAAATTAGTGAGTGCCCATTGTGGAAGGTTTTTTTGAACTTTGGGTGGCCAGTTAGTAGGAAATGGTGGCTTTGCATCTTACATGGGTTTAAGTTACATGAACTCAGTAGTGAAAGAGAGAAAAGTAACAGTTTAGTGTATGATTCTACCTGCCAGTCAATTTAACAAGCTGTCACCCCAAGGAGAGTATGAGATATGGATTATGAATGTGCTGTTCGCTCAGGAAGTCTTAGTGCTCAGTCCCTCTCGATGCTGAGTTGAGCTCTAGTGACTAAAGATGCCACACGTGTTTTTGGTGCAACATGGCCACTCAGTGGAAGCCAACCTCTTCACCAGGTCCTTAGCTGAAGAGAGATCTAATTTAGCTTTGGAAGAAACTGGTTGTGTTGGATTTTTGAAGGAAAGTATGTCCATTTCCAACATAGGACTTTCTTAAGGATTGCTTTTCACAATTTTGTAATTTTTCCCTTTACTGGCTAACTTTAGAATCTAGCAGCTTCACGAGATGCACTCCATTGTACATGGGTGGTTGGACTCAGACGGTTGTGGGAGACTCTTAGAGTCCAAGAGTGTGTAAATCATTGAGATTTTTATAAGTCATTAATAAAAATCAGGTCGTGAAAGTATAGAAGAAAAATATTGACTCCCACAATATAGACTCTTCATAACGTATGTGTGTTCACATTTATAGATAGATGTGTTTTTGGAAATAGGCAAGTGGACAGATTCACTCCCTGAAATTCAGAAAGTAATCTCTGCAGATGGCATCTTGAAGTTGTCTGACTCATCAATGCTATATCAAGCAGTCTTTCCCTTTCATTTATTTACTTAAACAAATATTCACTGTGTGCCTGCTTGTGCCAGGCATTATACCCACCACTGGGAATAAAATGATAAGCAAAAACATAGTCCTCGCTCTCACTCATCTGGTTGGGGAAAGAGACGTCAATTAAATTAAATAGTATTATTTGAGTGATCATTTCTATGAGGGGCAGTGAAGTGGGGCTATGAGAGCACATGCTAGCAGAATTCATCCTGATCAGGAAGGCCTTAGAAGAAGGAGTGGAGAATGTTTGTAGGACAATCCGAAGGATGAGTACGAGTTACTTAGGTGAAGAGTGGAAGGGAAGAACATTTCGGGCAGAGGGAACAATATGTGCAAAATTTTCAATATCTAAGTACTCTGCTCATGTTTCAATTATATTTGAGTTTCCACTGAATGTTAACAAAAACCAGCATGGACTATATAAGACTTTGAAGGTCCACAAAGAGAATAATAACGGTTGACTTCAAAATCTGCCATGTCACATAGCAAGCACTGAAACATACTAAAATTAATATTCTAAAAAGAAAAATTACAAAGCTGTTTATAATAAAACCTTAGAAAAATTAATGTGTGTGAAACTAGATAATAGCTTCCAAACATGATTTTCTAGATTCAGATTTTCTTAGACTTGAGCAATTTCTGTGATCAGATATCGTTGATGACAGCAGGAGCTTACAGCCTGGTGAGCATTGATCTCATTCCATTGATTTTACATTGAGATTATTCTCTCAAAGCCTGTGGATAGCTGGAGATAATTAAAATTTGCTTCCGATAGGCTTTAGAGCGTCTGAAAAACTTCACAGATACAGCACTGGCAATCATAATAGAATATTTTGGTTCAAAGGCTGACTAATGGAATGGGTGGTCAATAGATTTTCGACCACGCTTGAGACATTGGGTCTGGATCCACTATCGAGAGGCTGTACCAATGGACTTTTCATTGTGGGGTGAGCACTGTGTTTATGTGACAGCATGATGGTCACCTAGGTATATGACATATGTTTAGTTATTGTGACTGATTGACAACATTGATATTCAAAAAGCCTTCTTAGTATGATTTTTCCATGACCAGATGCAAAGGATAGAAACCACATTTTAATGCTAGATGACACTGGATTGGCTCTCCACAAGTCCATGTGGTTTATTATAATGTGCTGTGTCCCTCTGACTCATCATTCCTGGGTTAAATAGAGCACAGACAGCACCAAACTGGCCAGAGAGCATCACTGTACTGTCTCGTCCTGCTTTCACCAAACACACTGTTGGGCTGGAAAGTGGTAGATAGTGAGGTAGTGCAGATGACAACTGAGACAAACACCCCTTGTAAAATGTAATTCACGATCTGGCAGAAAGCTAATGTGAAACAATTCTTGCGTACAGTTGATGTGTAGTAAATGTGCTTGTATTGCTGTTACAGTAATAGTAAGAATTCACAGATAAACGGTGTCCTTTACGACAACTGTGGTGAAACGCTCATGTGAACTAATACTGAGAATTCAACTTTATCCTTCCTGACAATAAAGCCAGGAAAGACTAAACCTTACCGCCAGAGAGAGGGACTTCAGTGGTAATAAACACATCTGCATGGATTCAATCCAGGAAAACTAAACTCAGCAGCAACCCGTGTGGAAACAATACATGGCAGTGAGTGATGGGCATCTTTATCTGTCCCTGAAGCGAAGGATTTCCTGTTCCAAGTGACACATACCACTGTGTACTCTGATGAATGACAATGACGTCAAAGTGCAAATGATAGGGAAGATGCAGCTTATTTCAATTCTTGATTGATTGCAAAAAGGTATGTGAGAAAGGAGACCATACAATTTGGGTGGCACCTCACTTCCTTATAGGGTTTCTCAGTTATTTCCTCCAGTTCTATTTTTTGCATCTGGATGGAAGGAAATAAAGATGCCTGGATGGTACCCTAGTATATTGTAAGTGACATGTGAAACAATTGGGAGGCAGTTAAAGTGTCACACAAAGTAGTTTTCACTAAGGTATGGGAAGTAGAGAAGGAAGTAAAATTTATATTTCAAAATTTGAATGGAATTTATTTTGAAGTTCCTCAACCTTGCTTCGATTCATGAATGTTTCATCTCTAGGTGGTGTATGATTTTTAAAAGAGGTGGGGAGTGCCACAAAGTGAGATGAAAGGGTTTAATCTAAATTTTAGAATTAAAATGTGATTTCTGTTTCTTTTCTATTCAAGAAATATCCTGCCTTCCATTCTGTCTCTTACAGTACTGTGGACTTCTTTTTTAGAGAACCACAAACCCCTTTTTTTCTTGTGTACCATAAATTGAGCACTAATTGTACATAAATTGAGAGAAAGATTTATTCTGCCATGTGCTCTATAAATGACTGGTTTCAAGTGAGATATAATGCATCTACTTTTAGGAAATCTTTCCAGTACAATAATAAGTACAATAGCATTGCTAATTCTAATTATTACTAATTCTAATAACACATGCCGTGTACCAGTAGCACAATAAACTAGGAGCCTGCAAGGGTGATGGGACATCCACGTGGTCACTCAGGAATATTTAGCAAGAGAGGAGAATTCTAAATATATATGGAAGAGAGTGATATAAATCACTTGTTTAGTTTTCCTAATAAATCTGAAGAAATTTGATATTTGGTTTTTAACTTAAGTGAATGTTTTAATGCCATAATAGTAAATATAAGTACATTTACTACATGTCAACTATATGCTTATCAAAGAAATAAAAGATCATAAAACTGGTTGATTTATATCCCAGGAAATTTAGAAGCTCATGTTGGTTGCATTTTGGGTAAAGATTCAATTTAGGTAAGACCCTCTCTCTCATCTCTGAGAATCTGCATTTGTGTCTTGATTCCAATATTTGTAGCATATGAGAAGGCATATATTATAAGACATGTTTGATACAAAAATCATCATATTTGCAAACATATGTGGCTTCCTAGGAAGACTGAGAAGTGTATTCCTATGAAACTTCAGGTATGTGTTTTTTCTCTGCAGATGGGGGCAGAAGGCATGGAAGGTGGTGCTTCAGGAAATCAGCATTCTCGGAAACTCGTTAGCTTTACGTTGTCAGGTAAGGATGTCTTTACTCATGATGTCCAGCTTGCAGGTGTGTAATTTCAAAGTTATGAATAGTCGCATCTTTCTACAGACTCTCATATATGACATATGAACTAGTTATTTATTTCTTTTGTTAATACTTTTAGAAATTCAAATGTATTTCTTACCATGATAAAATTAGATTACCGATATAAACTCAGAAATTATTTCTCCTAGCAAGTTTTCTGTTGATAAAAAGACCATAACTATGTATAGTTACTTAAAAAACTGTAATGTAGTATCTGCTAAACCCACTGAAGAGTTTTGATTATTGAAAACAATTTGTACTTACCTCCTCTAGAGAAGGAAAAAAATTGGAGGCTAGGGGAAAAAAGCCAAGGGGTAATCTTATTTCTGTGAAGGAATACACATAAACACTGAAAAGTGGATAAGGCAATTTTTAGTTGTTTATTTTCAGGTTAGTGTAATATTCTAATCGCTTGTATGTTTACCAACCAACTGAAGCACTGCTTTTCAGGTTGTGAATTGGAACTCATTTGTGGTTTGTAAGATTACTTTAGTTGAAATTAGCAGTTAAAAAAGGAATAGAAAAAAAAATCAGAATTTACTGCCAAAGAGAAATATTTTTCATAGAAAACCAGTTTACACAAGTTGAAAATTTTCACACACAAAAATATACACACTTAACAATGTATATAATGAGTGAGTGTATTTCATACATAGGTCGCTGCAAAAAAGTTTGAAAGCCACTGATTTTAAAGAAATTGGCAGTCATAAAGTCAAGAATACTCTAAGAAAATCAGTATTTGAAATGGACTTTTAAAACAGGCAACAATCCTACAATACATATAAAATAAAGTCTAACAGATGTCTGTCACTGCAAGACATTTAGTTTTCATTTTTTCATTGGTTTAGTGCTTCTGAAATTTAAATTAGATTCAGTTTTTCTTAGCTGCAAAAAAGTGTTGTTAATGAAAATAGATGTTCTCAAGATTGAGAGAGGACTGATCTTAAAGACGTGTCCATGATACACAGTTATCACATATGATGGAGGTGTGCGCATTAGTTCGTTCCTGGCCTGCAGCCTTCCGGGTATCCTTGTCTGTTCTGGCATGTTCCTTCTTCTCCCCAGGATGAGATTGCTTACTATGAAAACCATTTTTGCTTTGGTTCTCTGGCAAGTCTCAGAGGTTGTAAAATGGTGGCCTATGGTTCAAATTTGGCCAATAAATGTGTTTTAGGCGTAACCCTCAGGGTTTTAAGTATATCTGGGTTTTTAGGAAAGCACTTAATACCACTGCCTGTGACAACACTCCTCAGCCAACCCCCTTATCTGTCTGTCTCCTGAAAACAGTACAGCTGGCTCCCTGTGCTTTAGACCTTTGCAGTCCTGAGAGGGTGAGGTACAGAAGCCCTTCGTTTATAGGTAGGGAACAGTTAGCCGACCTCTGTGGTTCAGAAAACTTAGTTTTGACCATACCGTGGTTTTCTTCTGTTTAGAAGCATTCCCCTAAGCTTTCAAGTGATCCACACATTCCAAATATGACACACACAGACTGATTTTGACTCCAGAGAGGATGTTAATTAAATCACTGTGGGACAATGACCTTGTAGAAGGTGAAAATACCAGTATATTTTCCTAAAAAGCAGGAAATAAGCTTTGGGGTAAAGCCAAGTGCTTTTTCTTTATATACAACTTTTTCCAACGTCTACCTCAATACATGGAGGCCAGCCACCGAAAATGGGTTTTATTTCTTACCAGATAATCAGCTATTTGCAGAATGTACAGAAATGGCTAAAAATTATAGAAGATGAAAGCAGTTT